TTCATTGTACACTAAAATATCATTCACTGTATACTGAATTATAATTTACTGTAAACAATATCGACAGTACATCACAGATGGAGTAAAATAACTTGTGTTTAACACTCATTTGCTAAAGTTAGGATAAGTTATTTTTATTCATTACCTCTGATAGCCTCACACACCGTGTAACTGACACAAACATGTCCACTCATTGAGCACTTGGCCCAAGTTCGTCGAATTCCTTTTATTTTATAAAGAGGTGCAAGATACCACTAGTACGACCATTTAATGGAAATATAAACACAAATGCAGTATAATGTGATCCTTTATTGACTACGTTTCGCCCACACAATGGGCTTTTTCAAGTCACTATGTGGGCGAAACGTAGTCAATAAAGGATCACATTATACTGCATTTGTGTTTATATTTCCATTGTGTCGGTATTTTATACCATTTATTTCCACGACCATTTAATGTTCTTTGGAGAAAGATCTTAGATCTAGGTGAAGCACCAGAGACCTTAATGGGCACGTCAGTTTCTCTGTCTTCTAATTATATGTTATTTTTCCTTTACAATCTACCGTGTCCATAATTACAATCGCATTTGTTTTTTCTGCGATAGTAATTATGGACAAGATAGATTATAAGGGAGAAATAAACATGATATTAGGAGACAGGGAAACTCAGGCGCCTCTTAAAGAGTGCAGACATAGCTCATTTGCATAAGGGAGGCAGTAGAGCACTAGTCAAAAATTACACACTGGTAGACCTAGCATTCCACCTCACAAGAATTTTTGAAAAAATGATGAGACACCACATTACAAATCTTATACAATAACACAATGTACACAAGCCAGCGTGGATGTAGAGCGGGAAGATCATGATCGTCAGCGTGGATGTAGAGCGGGAAGATCATGATCGTCAGCGTGGATGTAGAGCGGGAAGATCATGATCGTCAGCGTGGATGTAGAGCGGGAAGATCATGATCGTCAGCGTGGATGTAGAGCGGGAAGATCATGATCGTCAGCGTGGATGTAGAGCGGGAAGATCATGATCGTCAGCGTGGATGTAGAGCGGGAAGATCATGATCGTCTCAACTACTAAATCACTCTTAACAGAATTAGAGGCACTGGAAGAAAACCCAAGCGCAAATATGTGATCATGGGGTGATTATACACAATGTGGCTGGCCGGTGTAACTGGGAAAGTAGGCAAATGGATATTCCACTTTCTGACAGATGGAGTAGTAGTAAACGGAGCAAATTTCCAGCATAAGCAAATATAAAGCTTAGTACTCCAAGGTACTATCCTGGCGCCTCTATCGTTTCTTATCTTTATAGCGGACATAGATAAAAACGCCCTCCACAATTTCGTATCATCATTTGCAAATGATACCAAAATAAGCTTGAAATTCACCTCGTTAGAAAACATTGCAGGAAGATATAAGAAAGTTGTAGTGAACAGTAGAAAATAACACGACTTTCATTGGTGATGAGCACCAACTGCTTACATCCGGAAATAATGAAGAACACAGAGTATCTGGATGTAACTATGTCAGCTGACATTTTTTTTCAAAGAACACAATAAAGCATATGTAACGACAGTTAGGAAGATGACGGAGTAGATAATTATAATTTCCAAAATAAGGAACATAGTGCCAGTGGTGACGCTTCAAATCGCTTGTGTTGAATATTGTTCAGTGTTGATAGCCCTGTTCAGGCCAGGGAAGATATCACAGCTGGAACAGATAGATCATTTACAGTTCGCATGGAGCCAGTGAAGCGTTTAAATTAATAGGAACACCTCAAAGTCCTAAATATGTACTTGCTGGAGCGGAGGAGACATATATACATGTAAATATGTACCAGGAAAGTACTTGAGGGCTTAGTCCCAAATATGCACACTGAAAAATATGGGAGGAAGTGTAAAATAAACTCAGTTAAAATTAGGGGCGCCATGGGCACAATTAGAGAACACTGTATCAACATCCGTGGCCCCAAACTATTCAACATTTTACCAGAAAATATCAGAAATATTGCTGGAACAAGTGAAAATTTTTTCAAGAGGACAGTACCTGATCAAGCAGGCTATGAGGATAGTGTCCTCCAGCAAGTCCCTGATCAACCAGGCTGTGACCCCGGGCCGGGCTGCGGGAGTAGGGAAACTTACAAAGCCATCAAGTATATGAAAGGTAGAATAATCATGAGGATATCTCAGGATAACCATAAGGATATCTTAGGATAACCATAAAAATATCTTAGGATAACCACAAAGATATATTAGGATGACCATAAAGATATCTTAGGATAACCATAAAGATATCTTAGGTTAGCCATAAAGATATCTTAGGTTAATCATAAAGATATCTTGGGATAACCATAAAGATATCTTAGGATAACCATAAAGATATCTTAGGTTAATCATAAAGATATCTTGGGATAACCATAAAGATATCTTAGGATAACCATAAAGATATCTTAGATTAATCATAAAGATATCTTGGGATAACCATAAAGATATCTTAGGATAACCATAAAGATGTCTTAGGTTAATCATAAAGATATCTTGGGATAACCATAAAGATATCTTAGGATAACCATAAAGATATCTTAGATTAATCATAAAGATATCTTGGGATAACCATAAAGATATCTTAGGATAACCATAAAGATATCTTAGGTTAATCAAAGATATCTTAGGATAACCATAAAGATATCTTAGGTTAATCATAAAGATATCTTAGGATAACCATAAAGATATCTTAGGATAACCATAAAGGTATCTTAGGATGACCATAAAGATAGATTAACCATAAAGATGTCTTAGGATAACTATAAGGATATCTTAAGATAACCATAAGGATAAGGATATCGTATTTTTTTTAATATAATTAAAATTGAGTGGTAAAGGCAGTACGTAACTCTAGTTTACGACTCACTCTTCATAGGTTCAAACCTCACTCGTTCCCTGGTTTGTTTACAATCTTATGATTTCGTGAGTTTTAAGCTGTTGATCTGTTAGGTTTTTTAAAAGCTTCGTCAGAAGATGGTGGTGTACTGTTTCCTGACGAGGAAGAACACAGGGGCGGGTGCACAGCTTCAAGACTGGGTGTGATGTGCTCTGTGGCGCGCAGAGTTCAGAAGTGACTAGGTTAAGAAACTGGGCAACTACCTGAGGTATGGAAGACCGCAAATGTAGTTCCCATTTTTTAAAAAAAGACAGAAAAGAGGCACTAAATTACAGACAAGTGTCACTGACGTGTATAGTATGCAAAATCATGGAGAAGGTTATCAGGAGGAGAGTGGTGGAGCACCTGGAACGGAACAAGATTATGAACGACAGTCAGCACGGATTCATGGAAGGCAAATCCTGTGTCACAAACCTTCTGGAGTTTTATGACAGTTACAGAAGTAAGACACGAGAGAGACGGGTGGGTTGATTGCATTTTCTTGAATTGCAAGAAGGCCTTTGACACAGTTCCTCACAAGGGATTAGTGCAGAAACTAGAGGATCAGGTGTGTATAACAGGAAGGGCATTGCAATGGATCAGAGAATACCTGACAGGGAGGCAACAACGAGTCATGGTACGGGATGAGGTATCACAGTGAGCACCTGTGACGAGTGGGGTCCCACAGGGGTTGGTCCTAGGATCAGTGCCATTTTTGGTATATGTGAATGACATAATGGAAGGGATAGACTCAGAGGTGTCCCTGTTCGCAGATGATGTGAAGTTAATGAGGAGAATTAAATCAGATGAGGATCAGGCAGGACTTCAGAGACCTGGACAAGCTGGACACGTGGTCCAGCAACTGGCTTCTTGAATTCAACCCTGTCAAATGCAAAGTCATGAAGATTGGAGAAGGGCAAAGAAGACCGCAGACAGAGTATAGGCTAGGTGGCCAAAGACTGCAAACCTTGCTCAAGGAGAAAGATCTTGAGGTGACCATAACACCGAGCATGTCTCTGGAGGCACACATCAACCAAATAACTGCTGCAGCATATGGGCGCCTGGCAAACCTGAGAATAGCGTTCCGATACCTTAGTAAGGAATCGTTCAAGACACTGTACACTGTGTACATCAGGCCCATATTGGAGTATGCAGCACCTGGTCAAACACGTCAAGAAATTAGAGAAAGTGCAAAGGTTTGCAACAAGGCTAGTCCCAGAGCTCAGGGGTATGTCCTACGAAGAAAGGTTAAGGGAAATCGGAATGACGACACTGGAGGACAGGAGGGTCAGGGGAGACATGATAACGACATACAAAATATTGCGTGGAATAGATAAGGCGGACAGAGACAGGATGTTCCAGAGAGGGGACACAGAAACAAGGGGTCACAGTTGGAAGCTGAAGACTCAGACGAGTCACAGGGATGTTAGGAAGTATTTCTTCAGTCATAGAGTTGTCAGGAAGTGGAATAGCCTAGCAAGTGATGTAGTGGAGGTGGGAACCATACATAGCTTTAAGACGAGGTATGACAAAGCTCAGGAGAGAGAGAGAGAGAGGACCTAGTAGCGATCAGTGAAGAGGCGGGGCCAGGAGCTGTGTCTCGACCCCTGCAACCACAATTAGGTGAGCACACACACACACACACACACACACACACACACACACACACACACACACACACACACACACACACACACACACAAACACACACACTGGCACCACACTGCTGGCAAGGCCCTACTGACCTTACTGAACCGGTTGAATGCTTGATACTTAATTCGGTTGCTCTTGGATCACCTATACAATTAACCCTCCTGTACCGAAGATGATCTCAGAGGGAGATCAAAATATACATCTTCCTTTCACACTGTGTTTCCATCTACAGATTTTTTGTCAACTTACGTCCGTAATGTGATTACCTATTAGTAATTACTAAATTAGATTGCTTCCCACGAAGCGTTAAATCCGTATGGATCATTTAGCGCAATGGGTACTGGAGGGTTGATCCTCCAGCAAGGCTGTGTTGAGTCATGCTGTGTATGCTGGGGTAGCAGATAATGAACTTATAAAAAAGATTAATATCAGTTTTGATGTGTTTTAGGGAGGGAGAGAGATATAATCTACACTTGGAAAATCCTGGAAGGAATGGTCCCAGATCTGCACACAGAAATCACTCCCTACGAAAGTAAAAGACTGGGCAGGCGATGCAATTAAAAGTAGGGGCGCCATTGGTACACTAAGAGAAAACACCATAAGTGTCCGGGGCCCAAGACTGTTCAACAGCCTCCCATCAAGCATTAGGAGAATTGCCAATAAACCCCTGGCTGCCTTCAAGAGAGAGCTGGACAGATACCTAAAGTCAGTGCCGGATCAGCCGGGCTGTGGCTCGTACGTTGGACTGCGTGTGGCCAGCAGTAACAGCCTGGTTGATCAGGCCCTGATTCACCGGGAGGCCTGGTCATGGACCGGGCCGCGGGGGCGTTGATCCCCGAAATAACCTCCAGGTAATAGGAGGGAACGTGGTTATATTGACTTACACGTGATGGCTAGTGGGAGATGACGTTAATACTGTTATAGGTGATGGCTAAGGGGGCTGAGGCGGAGTTATAATGACTGTTATAGGTGATGATAGTTATAATTCCTTAGTGGGATTATAGAGGAAAAAGTTCACGGGGGGGTTCAGTTTTATCTCCCAACTCTTTGGAGTTTTAAGACAGGGTTCAAGTGAACCCCTGAGTCAAAATATATTAACTTCTACCCGGTATTCCAAACCTTGGGCAGATATTTCTACTTCAGTGGTTCAGATGAACGTATCTATTTTCAAAACTCTGGGGTCTATTTTTTTTATCCATCCTCCATAGGTGGTAGGGGAGGGCCCCTGGGAGGTCGTCTCCTAGGTACATCTCGGTACAGTCGTAGAGTCGGTTCACCCGGGCCACGTCGATCTTACTGAGGTTTAGTCTCTGTCCCATTTGGTGAGCGTTGTGTTCTCCAGGCAGAGCCTCGATCGTATCCCTAGAACAGTTCTTGCAAAACGCTCGAGGGCCGTAGTGGGTGACGGACGCCGCGTCGTACGGCAGGCCGAATGTTTGGTAGTACATTTTGCGAAAGTTGAACTCGTGTCTCGGCAGGATGTTGTCATAGACGACGATGATGTGTTTGTCCCGGTCGTGTCGTTGGTGCTCGTGGTAAAACCCGAGGACGTGCATCAGCTCGTGTACGACGTGCCCGACGCGTCGTATGCACTCAGGGGAGTGCAGGTGGACGTAGGAGACGAAGCCTGGGGTGGTATTGAAGCCGGCCCTAGCGTTACATCCTCCCTGGCCGTTGGAAACCTCCACATACGACTCCATGGCTCGGAATCTCTTCAACCTGGGCTCCACGAACTTGACGCAAGTGTACGACTCCAGCAGCCTGATGCCCAGCTCAATACCCTCTCTGCTGTCGTGGCTGTACACGCTACTGATAGTCAGGGGGATGACGGGTGAGGGCCAAGGGATGACGGGGAAAGTTGTGGTGTTGTGGTCAAGCTCATGGTCCATCCCTGGTCCTCCACAATCATGCTCATCCTGCAGCACCACATCAAGTAGCTCCCCCGCTCCTCTTGTCCCCGAGTTCGCTATTAACAACACTAACTCCAGCATCGCTGCAGAAAATAACATCGTTTGCATTTTGTTTCAAATAATATACAGAAATTTATAGGCCCATGAGGATTTTTAGCATGTATTTTGAAGTGACAGAGTTGCAGAGAATTCACTCTCTGTAAGTTTATTTCGGTACAGGTACACATGAATACAGTTACAAAAATTATCATACATATAACACGTGTAAATTACCTAGTCACTAACATACTTCCATTGGGATTCTTGTATTTCCATTTGGTTTCCTTGAACTCACATTGCTGTAGTGTAGAATCACACACCAATGGCCTCACCACCACCTGCAGTACACTCGAGTCCCTAACACCACCTGCGGGCCACCTGATCTCCCCACCACCTGTCATTCACCTCAGCCATTGCTGTCTCGCTCTCTTTCACCTCAGCCACGGATCTTGTACTGACCTTAATCCGCCAGTAAGTTTATCCTCAGCTCACCTTCCCCTGTGACGAGAGTACCCCCACCCTCATCTGCGTAATAGGTGGGTGCAGGGGAAGGGGTAAGTTTCCCTATCATCACGGGAGGAAGGAAGGACCAGTCTGTCATGGTAGAAGGGGACCATGCTAGTTACCATACACTGGACCAGCTAAGTTGCGAACCGTCAACACTAGTGTTGATTTTTTTAATATCATTACAACCGCTTCGTTCTGTTTCGGTCATAATATGATGTATATCGCATCATAACATGATATATATCGCATTATAACATGATATATATCGCATCATAACATGATATATATCGCATTATAACATGATATATATCGCATTATAACATATATATCGCATTATAACATGATATATATCGCATTATAACATGATATATATCGCATTATAACATGATATATATCGCATTATAACATGATATATATCGCATCATAACATGATATATATCGCATCATAACATGATATATATAGCATTATAACATGATATATATCGCATTATAACATGATATATATCGCATTATAACATGATATATATCGCATTATAACATGATATATATCGCATTATAACATGATATATATCGCATCATAACATGATATATATTGCATCATAACATATATATCGCATCATAACATGATATATATCGCATCATAACATGATATATATATCGCATTATAACATGATATATATCGCATCATAACATGATATATATCGCATTATAACATGATATATATCGCATCATAACATGATATATATCGCATTATAACATGATATATATATCATAACATATATATCGCATCATAACATGATATATATCGCATTATAACATGATATATATCGCATCATAACATGATATATATCGCATTATAACATGATATATATCGCATTATAACATGATATATATATCATAACATATATATCGCATCATAACATGATATATATCGCATTATAACATGATATATATATCATAACATATATATCGCATCATAACATGATATATATCGCATTATAACATGATATATATAGCATTATAACATGATATATATCGCATCATAACATGATATATATCGCATTATAACATGATATATATCGCATTATAACATGATATATATCGCATCATAACATGATATATATCACATTATAACATATATATCGCATTATAACATGATATATATCGCATCATAACATGATATATATCACATTATAACATGATATATATCGCATTATAACATGATATATATCGCATCATAACATGATATAGCATTATAACATGATATATATCGCATCATAACATGATATATATCGCATTATAACATGATATATATCGCATCATAACATGATATATATCGCATCATAACATGATATATATCGCATTATAACATGATATATATCGCATTATAACATATATATAACATATATATCGCATCATAACATGATATATATCGCATCATAACATGATATATATCGCATTATAACATGATATATATCGCATTATAACATGATATATATATCATAACATATATATCGCATCATAACATGATATATATCGCATCATAACATGATATATATAGCATCATAACATGATATATATCGCATTATAACATGATATATATCGCATCATAACATGATATATAACGCATAACATGATATATATCGCATTATAACATGATATATATCGCATTATAATATATATATCGCATCATAACATGATATATATTGCATCATAACATGATATATATCGCATCATAACATGATATATATCGCATTATAACATGATATATATCGCATTATAACATGATATATATCGCATTATAACATGATATATATCGCATTATAACATGATATATATCGCATCATAACATGATATATATAGCATTATAACATGATATATATCGCATCATAACATGATATATATCACATTATAACATATATATCGCATTATAACATGATATATATCGCATCATAACATGATATATATCGCATCATAACATGATATATATCACATTATAACATGATATATATCGCATTATAACATGATATATATCGCATCATAACATGATATATATAGCATTATAACATGATATATATCGCATCATAACATGATATATATCGCATCATAACATGATATATATAGCATCATAACATGATATATATCGCATCATAACATGATATATATCGCATTATAACATGATATATATCGCATTATAACATGATATATATAGCATCATAACATGATATATATCGCATTATAACATGATATATATCGCATTATAACATGATATATATATCATAACATATATATCGCATCATAACATGATATATATCGCATTATAACATGATATATATCGCATTATAACATGATATATATATCATAACATATATATCGCATCATAACATGATATATATCGCATTATAACATATATATCGCATTATAACATGATATATATATCATAACATATATATCGCATCATAACATGATATATATCGCATCATAACATGATATATATCGCATCATAACATATATATCGCATCATAACATGATATATATCGCATTATAACATGATATATATATATAACATATATATCGCATCATAACATGATATATATCGCATCGTAACGTGATATTATATATATATATATATATATATATATATATATATATATATATATATATATATATATATATATATATATATATATATATATATTATATATATCGCATCATAGCGTGACTTATTTTCCCTAAGTCAGATTATTATTATAATCAAGAGGGAATCGCTAAACCCGTAGGATTATGCAGCGCCTGTGGGGGGGGGGGATGTGGAAGGTATTCAGGCTTAATTCGGGGAACTGGAGCACAGATCCAATTCCCTAGATCAAGAGCCCCTCACCAGCATCAAGGAACCTTCCTTGAGGGGTCCCTAAGTCACGGCTTTAGTCACGTGACTTTGCATGTAGGCTTGATCATATATATCTCAGTACTCGCGGAGATATATTGTCTGATCCCATTGTGCTGTTTATGTCATTGATACTCTCATAAATGCTTGTGTGTGTGTATGTATGTATGTATATTCTGAAACACTGCTGTTACTCCGAAGGCATTTATAGTAAGGAGTGTGGAACACAACAACATGGACTTTGGAACACACACAATAACAACGTGGACTGTGGAACACAGACAGGAACAGAGAATAGCAGTCTTAGACAAACATGATAACCTGTCAGTCTTATCATTGGTGTCACCAGACAAACAAGTGGAGATAAATTCAAGTGGTGGAAGGTAAAGCTCAAGGAGATGGTCTTATTTGGTAACAGCCAGGTGACTCAAGGTTCACTGGTTCACGTTGAGACATCTTGATGCACCATTCAACTCAACCACAAGTTTGGTTAGGTTTTAAGGCTAAGGTAGCTCAATGAATCAATGAGCTCGATCACAAGGTTGTGTGATTGGTTTAAGGGCTCAGACAGCTCAGTGAATCAATGAACCTGACCACAAAGTTGTGTGGTTAGGTTTAAGGACTCAGTGAGTCAGTGAACCCTACCACAAAGATGTTTGTTGGATTTAAGGGCTGATGAACCCGCCAGTCCGAACTCCAGAGTCACTACCAGACGAACTCATCAGAGTGTCATTCATTGGGTGAAATATTCCAGTGTTATCGTGGCACTTATGGTGCCTCCTCCCTCCCTATGCCCACACTCAGATCACCACATAGACACCTGCTGCCATATCTTATCAAAACAGGGTGTCCAGTACACGAATCAGGTCATACACTCCTTAGGTTCACTAATCCACCTTAGACCAGCTCAAAACTTCCAAAATACATTTTTTTTAATAACCCCCGTTTAATAACCCCGTTTTGAGTACAGGCATCCTGACTGACCACCTCATCAGCCAGGCTTTTGGTGCTAGCGGCTTGCTGACCCACTGAGATATTAGACACCACGGCTGATCAGGTATTTTCTAAGTGCTGTCAGATATTCCTTCTATTTTGAATACTAGCCATAGCAGTTCTATTTTATCTATTATCTATTTTGTCTGTTAAGGATAGATTGTGGAATGATTTTAAGCTGTATATTGTATTGGCTGATATATCGCTGTGTATATATACTGAGAGATGTACACTTCTCAATGTATGTACACCGAGAGATATACCGTTTAGTGTAGATACACTTGAGATATGCTAAGCGTATATACACAGATATACACTTCTCGGTATATTAAAATTTTAGAGATATACACATTCCAGTAGATATGCACTAATACCTCTCAGTGAATATACACTGAAAGACATATACCTCTCAGTTCATAGTGAATATACACAAAGATATATACATCTCAGTATATACACACTGATAGTTATACACAACTCAGTGTAAATACACTGATAAATATCCATATCTCAATGTATATACATATATCTGTGTATATACACAGAGGTGTATATCTCGCAGTATATATACACTGAGAGGTCTGTATCCCATTGTATATACACAGTGGTGTATGTTTCCCAGTGTATATACATTGAGGTGTATATCTCAGTGAATATACACTAAATCTGCCTATCATTTCCTAAGGTGCTTCATCACCCACTCCGCCTCAATATAGAACATTATTATTATTATTATAATCAAGGGGGAAGCACTAAACCCGTAGGATTATACAGCGCCCAGGGGAGGGGGGATGTGGAAAGCATTCAGGCTTAATTCGGGGAACTGGAGCACAGATCCAATTCCCTAAATCAAGAGCCCCTCACCAACATCAAGGAACCTTCCATGAGGGGTCAATATAGAACAGATATTTACACAACATTTCGCCTGTGTCGCGGCCTTCTTTAGGTCACCGAATCATTCCTTGGGTTAGTAAGCTACATTTATACCATAATGGCAGCAAGTAACCGCACCTCATTTCATATATGTAATCTTGCAGGACGGGTGGGATTCGAACTGTGGTAAGCGAGACTTACAACTCTCAGGCCAGTGTGTTAACCACTGTACCAGGCTGGCCTAACAAGATTCAAGAGAGAGAGAGAGAGTACTTGTGGTTGGGGATTTCAATGCTGAAGTGGGTAAAAATGTTGTGGAAGGAGTAGTAGGTAAATTTGGGGTGCCAGGGGTAATTGAAAATGGGAAGCCTTTAATTGAGTTGTGTAGAAAGAGGTTTGGTAAT